TTTTGAGAAAAAATCCAGAGTCATCAGTTTACAAAGCAATGGTGGCAAAACACAAATTATACTTTGATTATTTTAAATAAAACAATCATAATTATACTGTTAAATTACAAAGCAATTTAAATAAAGTAACTTCATGTGTAAAATTAATGGTAGCAAAACACAAATTGCGAAGGGTAAATCTGAAAAGATGAAGAAATGGTAAAAGCCAGCCGCCAATATTGGTGAGATTAAGTCGAAAAAAAAAACGTGAATTTCAACACTTTCGTGGAGCAAACATAGTCCTAAGTAAATACAGATTCTCAGATAAGAGATGAAGAGAGAGAAGATAAGGTGATTAGGACTCAGAGGAAGAGGAAAAACCGGTAGATATGTCAAGACGAGAACAATTTTCACAAACTACATCGAACTCGGAAAACAAACAAGAAAAGTCCCAGAAAATTAAAATAAAAATCCAAAAGCTAGTATGATGATAGAAAAATAAAAGACAAGATTTTTAAACTAAACACAGAAGAATCTGTATCTTGTTCGAATTACCAGAAAAATGTAACGTACTCAAATACATATGAAAACTGTTTTAGATTTTGCAAGCAATCAAAAGTGAATTTTCATTAATGGGCTATTTTAGTTTCTTGGGCTATTTTTACCGTTAGATTTGTTAGTGGGTCACACCAGCCCCTCCAAAGCCTCCGTCTCCCTAAAGCCGAGCCAAGAGCCAAGCACATCGGGAAAGTCTCCATTTCCGGGCAAGAATCCGACAAGGCATCGAATCTGATTTTGGCATCGAAAAATTCCTTATAAAGACATGTCCTACCGCACCTCCACAAATAATCTAATGTGTACCAATCTATACTGAGAACAGATTACTTAGAGAACGAAACTCTCTGGCGGCTGCAGCCGTCTTGGCCCGGGAACCAGGGTAAACATTCTTCCCCTCTAGTGCCCTAACGAACATCCATAAGACAAACACGCCTATCGCTAGATGCTGATACGAACCTGGAAAACTCGTACGCTAGCGAGTTAACATGTCCGGTGTGGGCATGTTAAGTCACTAAATGTTATGGGTTTTCATTCGAGGACTTCCGGGCATCTTAGAACACTACCGTGTTCCTCGCCACAAAATAGAAGTTTTCCATCAGCGAAGATCGGGGACATACGTCTAACTATCCGTACCATGGTTCGGGACAAGCAAACGTACCGTGACGCCGGCAACCGGGGCGTGTGCGGGGGAATTCACGGAGGACGTGGAGGCCGTAGTCCAGGCGAGGCGCCCCGCCAGGGATCTCCACAACCACCGTCCGACGATAAAGACGGCACGGAGGCAATCTCGGAGGTGAATCCCTTCGACGATTATCCACCCCCGCACGTCGAGGCTGACCCCATCGCTGCATACAACGGCCGTGACATGCGGCGACGAGGCCCGGTCTTCGTGGACGGCATCGATCAATGCAACGACAAAGGCAGGCGCGAGGAGGCTGCCTTCGCCAGCAGATATCGTGCCCGACACGATTGGGAATTTAATCGCGAATATGTTCGATGGGAGGGCCCGTTTCGCATTGACATCCCAGAAGTCGAAGGAGAGCAAGTTGACGGGCCATTGTACGATGGTCCGCCGGTGGTTGATGAAGGACCCAAGGAGGGGGAGGAGCGCCTGACCGGCGAAGAGGACGGTCTCTACGACGGTCTGCCGATTTTCGATGAGGAGCCTCCGGGGTCGGAAGAATTCCATCATGTTCCGGGTATCAAATTTCAGCTGTTGGAAAATTTGGTAGTTCTTCTGCGACCCGAGCTATTCTCCCACGGGAATTTATTGCGGCCTTGCAAACAGATGCTATTTTTTGGTCCCCATGGTGACTTCAAATTTTTGTGTGTGGCTGTTGCATATATGTCTTTCCATGAATTTCAAGGGGGTGATACCATGAAGGTTCGACGACATTCAACCTTTGTGTTCGACAGGGGGAAGCCCGAGTGATGATTGCCATGGGTACGACTCCGGTGTCGACACGTTTGGTGCAGCTTCGAGGGCGAAGCCTTCCGAACCGAAGGAGAATGATGCAGAATAATTAGATTATTATTATTATTATTATTATTATTATTATTATTATTATTATTAGTTATCTTGGAGAATAAGTTAGGAATTGTTTAAAATAAGAGTTCTTGTCTTGTTGGACAAGTTAGGTCTAGGGTTAGGAGCTTTATATAAAGGACTCCCTCTAGTTTATTTTCATTAGTTGATTATTGAAATGAAATAAGATAATGGTGAGTTTTGTGAGTTTTATCGAGAGAGTATCTCGTTTATGGTCCCACTCGTGCGCTTCCCTATATCAGGAACACGGTAGTGTTCTAATGTTTGAGAGATGCCCGGGAAGTCCTTGAATGAAAACTCACAACATTTAGTGACTTGGCATGTGGGTAGTGTTCTAATGTTTGAGAGATGCCCGGGAAGTCCTTGAATGAAAACTCACAACATTTAGTGACTTGGCATGCCCACACCGGGCCTGTTAACTCGCTAGCGTACGAGTTTCCCTGGCTCGTATCAACATCTAGCGAAGCGATGGGTGTGTTTGTCTTATAGATGGTCGTAGGGCACAGGAGGGGAAGAACGTCCCCCGGTGGTTCCCGGGGCTGAGACGACTGCAGCCTGACAGAGTTTCGTCCTTCTCTAAGTAGTCTGTTCTCAGTATGGATTGGTACACATCAGATTATTTATGGAGGTGCGGCAGGAGATGTCTTTATAAGGGATTTTTTATGCCAAAATCGGATTCGATGCCGATCTTTATTTCCTTTCTTCTTATTACGATTTTTAGCTTCTAGCAGCAAAGTTTCAGCTTCTTCCATCGCACGCTCCTCTGTTTCCCTCCGAATTCTTTCATTCTTCATTTGCTCAAATTCAATGCAAGCCTTTTCTATTTTTCTTCCTCACTTATCTTCTGTAATTTTAGCCTCTTGGCTTCCTCTTCTCGTATCTTCAGCACTCACAATCAACACCTCTTTCTTAAGTAACAAAACAACTAGCAAATGAAGCTAAATAAGGCATACCATTTCTAAAAGCTGGCGTTCTTGTTCTTCTTTAGGCTTTTCAATTATTGAATTGCGAGCAAGAAGTCGCATGTGTTCTTTCTCAACCACTACCACCAAATCTGTAAGCATTTCCCCCAATTTTGAGACTCTCTTTGCAGGAGGATGGATCATCAGCCTTGCTTTGCCAAGAGACTCCGCAAATGTTGACAGGTGGTCCCTTAAGCCTTCTATTTCAAGACCCTAGGGTAAAAATAAACAAGTNCAAACAGGAAAATAAATCGGTTCAAGGATTGTCTATTTCGTGTTTGACAAAGTCATATAATATTACGAATATTGCTTTCATTCATATATATTATTTTACCTAATTTTATTGTTTAGACATTTAAACCTCACAGGTTAAATTAGAGAAGCAGAATTGACAATGCACAATGTGGCAAAGACGGTGCAGGACCTATGTCTCAGATATTTCACGAGGCCCAAAGCAAGATGTTTTGTAAGAAAATGAGTTGCCAAAAACCTACACTAGAATTAATTCTAAAGGCAATATTGTTAGTATACATGGTTAAATAAAAAGAGAGATTTAGATTAGCTAAAAGTGTGGACATGAAATGTCTGAAAAGTAAAAGGTCGAGGTACTTTCCAAAATGCATCCTCTACAAATGGCCTGGGATTCATAATCTCTTATTTTATTTCACTTTTTAAAGAAAAAATATGAGTAATTATAACCCAATTTAACTACATAAAGATATCTAATGTATTAAAATCTTTTTATCACGAGTAATGCACAAATAAGTACAAGTACACTATGAAAATGGACCAGAGCTGCTGGAGAATAGAAGAGTCAACAATGAATGGTTACTTTGTTACCAAAGAAAATGGCACCTTTCTTGTGATCCACTTTCATTGCTAAGAAATAATTTTTGACTGCATCCACTGATATTTTCTCAACGGTAGGAAAATCAAAGAAAGGAATCATCCTTGATAAGTTGTCAATATTCATGGACTGGTACACCTGTGAAACCTGAAAATAGAATATACAGAAAGAATGATCAATTCCAATAACCAGAACGACAAAAAGGCTAAGAGAGTGAACAAGTATTTGATATCAATTCCACTTAAACTTTACAATCTTCTTTGATCAGTTAAGTAAAAGAATCTTGAGAATATACAAATGGCAATGGGATACTAAGGTAGTGAATTATTGGTTGTATATGATTGGTTAGTAATAAGGGTGGGTCAATAGTGATAATTTATAGAAAATACGTATTAATAATTAGTGATTTAGTGGTTTTTATTTTGAAAATGAGTTGAAAAGGTTGGTGGGTGTAAAAAATTATAGGTCAAAATGAAGTAAGCATTTGAAAAATCACTGAGAGAATTTTTATTGGAAGTGTCCAATGGCATCCAATTATTTGAACGCAGAGTAGCACGACGAGGTGAGAATACATACCCGTTGCAGCAACCTCAGAGCAGAAAGTTTCTCCAGAGAAGGAACATATTGAGAGAATTGCAATTCTGGTACAGAAGATGCAGAAGCAAGTTTACCACCAAGCTTAGAAATTTTCGATAACAAGGGTTGCACTTTCAGAGTCAGGTCAAAAGGAAGATTTTCATGCTCCAAGATATGGTAAAGATCCTTCACTTCCTGGTTAACACAGTTCATCAATCCTTTGGATACCTAATGAGAGGCCAGAGAGAAACGTTAGGAACACGATAAATGACATAAACAATGCATATCAAGTGAATTGAAAGCAATTCCATCAAATTCATTGAATTGAACTAAAGTGTGTCAGATCAATTGATATTGTTGTAGCTTACCAATTCCAAGAGCAGTGATGACCTTGAAAGCTGAAACCGAAAAAAAAGACTAATTAAAAAAGGCAACCAGTTAAATAGCTATAATGAAGCAAAAGGTTCGTCCAAGACTGTTACCACTTCTCTATTCTCAGGTTTGGATTCAACATCAAAAGCAATAAGGTTTGCAACTCTTAAATTCCGCTCTTTCTCATTTTCAAGCTCCGAATGAGATGCACCATATGAGCGGTCATAAGGAGGTACAGAAAGTGCAGCTAAAACAACTGATGATGCTATTAACTGTAAATCCTTCTGATCTAGGTGCTTGTTAAAGCTTTTCTGAAGTGTGAAAAGCTTAAGCCATGCATAAGCGTGATAAAGATGGCTGGATGACATCCAGAAAATTTCAGAAAGCTTAGAATAGAAAACAACCAAAGCAGAAGGTTTAGGAGTTTTCTTAACAATGGACATGAGTCCATGTATGTCCTCAATTGAACGAAATGCCTCCTGCAAATCCAGAAACAACGAAAGTTAAGTAACTTATAGAGAATCATAAGTCTGGTGTACAAGTTGTCACAAACCTATCACTCATTTGAAACTGCATGTACAAGTAAAAAAGCACAACAAACCTGCCAAAGTTCAAGTTCAGTAGCAACTTTAAGTTGCTCAAATCTGGTATCAAGATACAACTTCAAGCTTTCAGGAGCGGTAAGATCAGGCCTATCCCGTTGGTCCCTATACTTGTTAAGGTTTGCCAGATGATTCCGAATTATTTCACACAATCTCCGGAACTCTGTCGTACGCTTGTATTGCTTGCAAAACTGGAAGGCACGATGTGCGGTCATCTGAAAATTTAAACAGAAGCACAATGAAAATCAATTGAAATGTATGTATCAAGGACTTGAGACCTTCAATTAACGACATAAAAGCTTTTACTACCCACTCAGAAAGACCTTTAACCAAAGTTAACTCATAAATAACAAGTCTTATAAAGCAACGAAAAATACTTAAATATATATGAAGGGGCAAAAGGATTTAGCAATTATACCAAATTCAACATTTGTTGTTTTAGAAACTTTGTCAAAATAATAAGCAACAAATATTGCAAGCACATTACATCAAGAGGTTAACATGAACTAGCTAGCAAATCAAAATATACACTTATAGGACAAAACTTACAGCATACAGAGCTTCAAGTCTTGAGTTGTTTCGGAGAATTTCCAAAACTGTTCTGTAAGTTTCCCACAGAAACTTAAACCATGGAGTAACAAGTTCACGGTCAGATCTGTCTCTTCCTTTCTCACCACTAACGTAGCTCAACATCAGATCTTCAGGCCTTTTATCAGCTTCCAAGTCATCAATATCCAAGGCCTCTTCCAGAGCCTCAGCTTGATTACGTGCAAGCTCAGCCTTATCAGTGGCCAACTGCATGAAATGCTTTATCACCTCCTCTAGAGAAGTAATATTAACCTGTTGGCAGATGCCACGATACTGGATAAGGCCGTCTTTAGCATGCCTTCCCCTTCTCATGTCGACACATAACTCAACATACTTGAACATTATCCTCTCATGAGTTTTAGTCCAAGCTCTATACCTCCTTGTGGTAATAAAACCATGAAGAGTTTCCAGGGCTTCTTGATTTTGCCCAACATTTATCAACTCTGCATCAGCATGTATAATATGAATATGTAAACATAATAACATTTACTAGTGTGACTATACCACACAGACAATGGTGGACTCGTGAATGATTAAGATGGTTCAGTCACTACATTTCATCTCATTAGCTTAACCTGCGATTGCATCAATTTCAGGAATATCCAAAAGCAAAAAAAAAAAGATAAATGAAATATAGTGTACTTGAAACTATGGAGGATCAAACTCAAATGCACAGCAGTTTAGCTCAAGCGCCTTCAAGCTCAAAATGTGATAATAAACAGGATATAATGATTGGATGGCACATACAAAATAGGAAAAGCACAAAACACAATAATTCAGATTGAGATTCATAAACCTTCAGCTCTTTTCAGGGCATTCTCAGGTCGGGCAAAGGTCGCCATCTACTGCAATGGTGTCGTGAATCAGCCGTCGGACGATGGAATTAGGGTTGGGGCGAAGGGGACGAAAATTGCGATAGAGGTTGACGGATCGTGAATTTAAAAGGGCACGATTAAGGCTGCGGAAGGCATGATTGGGCTGAATTAATGTAGTTGGGCCTATCAGTAATGGGCCTTAAGTGAATTATTATTTATTTAAAAATAAAAAAAATTAAGTGGACAAAAAAAAAAATAGAGAGGTCGACCAAAATCAAAAGCACGTATTCCAGGAATACGTTTTTTCTAGGAAAACGTATTCTGGTAATACGCTTTTACTTATAAAATTTATTTCGAGAATACGGTTTAATTTAAAATAATTAATTAATATAATTAACGTAATTAAGTTAATTAAATTATATTAAAACATATAACCGATATACGTTTTAAAGTAAAAAAAACGGATTATAGGAAACGTTTTATAATTAAAATTAATTTTACAATTACGTTTTAATTATAAAACGCATTGTTGAAATACGTTTTATAAATAAAATTAATTTTAGAATTCTTAAAAATAATTTTTTTGGAGAAAATAATTTTTCAAAATATAAAACGTATTATAAAAATACGTTTTCCTTGCAATGATTTTGTCCTAATTTTGCCCTAAATTCAATGTCTTAAAACGTATTTTTGAAATACGTTTTATTTAAAAAAAAACCGTATTTTCATAATACGTTTTACTATGCAGAAACATTACCTGTGCAGCAAAAATAAAAAAACACACCTGTTAATCGAGATCGATTCAACAACCAAATATTAATTCCACAACCTCATATCAATCCATTCGTCAAAGAAAGAAAAAGCAACCACAATAATTAAGTAAAAACACAAATATGTCCAAATATCATTACATATAATCCACAAAAAAAAAAAACAAATATGTCCACAAAATTCCCTGAATACAACATAAACTAACTAGGAGTGTATTGATTCGTAGGGTTGCGCTGTCGGGAGCCAATCCTACGCCAAAATATGTCCACAAAATTTCCTGAATACAATATATAATAACAATTATAACTGTTTATCTTGGGTTATAAATGTGATTTTAGACTTTTAGTGCATTTTGTTTGAATGTATATGTTGACATAAAAAATTGTATCAACACCAAAATACCATACGAATTTGTTTCAAAAAGAAGGAAAATCCAGATCTTGGATGAATGTATATTTTTATTGATTGTTTAGAGATAACAATGTCTCTCCTTTCTTTGCTTTTTTGAAAGAGAGTCCCCCTCAATAATTGTTCAGCTCAAAGCGTACATAAAGAAATCGCCATTGGTTGTTCCATTGGCTCCAATAATAAATATGTATAAAATAATAAATAATTTAATTCCATAATTTAGATTAATGTATTGCTAGTTGTTGGAAACATTGATCACACGCATCACATATTATTTTTGTTTAATTATAAACTTCATACGACGTCGTCTCACTTAAGTTCGGATTACGTCGTTTTGTTTCGTCTCTTTTGTTTTGCATATGAGTTGTACATATAGGTACATCATGTATGTACGCTTTGAGGTGAACAATTTTAGAAAATATATGAGCTAAGATCTTAACAATGGCGATTTTTGTATATACGCTTTGAGCTGAACAATTTTAGAAAATATATGAGCTAAAATCTTAACAATGGAACTGTCCCACTCAATAAAAATGGCTCAAATGTGGGACAATCCTACATGGAGTTGTCCCATTAGTTGTTGGCTTCGTAATGGAGCCAACAGCTGGCTCCTTAACATTACTGTCATTGTTAATATGTTAGTTTTTCATGTATCTATTCAATTTCCTCTCGTCTCTTCTCGTCTCATGACTAGTCAAAAGGACAACTGATTTAACAAACTATTGATTTAATTCATCTTACATAACTATTTAAAAAAATTAGCAAGCACGGGACCAAATACTTTCGGAGGATCAGTACTCGTAAAATACTACAATAATTCGAAAAATTAAGGCAGCAAAAATCCGCTATCATACAAGATAAATATCTTCTCACAGAAAGAGATGATAAATTCTCAGAAGGTTTGATGTACATCTAATTCTGAAAAGACTGAAAAAGTACAATAACACTTGATACATATAACAAGACAAAAACAACACAGAAGAAGGGGAAAAAAAATCTTCTCAAAATTAAGTCGGAACAACCTCCGAATAATTTGGCGACAACTTGTACATAAAGACTCCAATGATAATAAACAGCGACGATAGCTGCACGAGAAAATACGTAGTGTACTTACACACCTTTTTCTGTAGCTTCAGTGTTAGGTCAATGCTTTCAATGTCTTCAGAAAAATCTCGCAACTTCTCGGCATCTTTCTCGAGCGACATACCCTTCTCATCACCAAGCTTGTTTTCGGTCAACTCTGAGGCAGATAACTTTTGGTCTACTGGAATAGTATTTTGATCCACGGCACATATCCTCAGCTTTTGAACTGTTCTTGATATTGTCAAATACTCGACTTCAGCTTCAATCTTTTGCTTAAATAGGTCCTCGAGTTCTGTTTCAAGATCTCCTTTTGCTATTTCCAACTCCTTAGGCTGTAAACCTGGAGAAAAATCCAGTACAGCTTCGCCACATGTGAACTGCTCATAGCTTTCGTTTTCCAGATCTGGGTGAACGTCATCTTTGCCTATTTCCTTGAACTTTAGCACCTCTGGACAAATATGTCATGGTTCGTTAGACACAGAGACTTAAAAGAAGGAAATGGAGAAAGTTAATTGCATGAAACATAACTTCCATCAAATGAAAAAAGTCATATCACATCAAAGAATAACTAAATGTCCCATACCGGTTCCTGAAGTTATTATATTGGAAACTATATGTGCATAATTGTATGCTATTTCATTAATTTGATCAAGTCATTTAAATTTGAGTTATTTAGTGCGAGAGTAAAGGGTAGGGCAAGGCTCTTATTTCAGCAGCCCTTGTTCATTTTGAATTTGGTTAAATAGTATATATAGGGTCATTGATATACAATTAGAAGCAGGCAGTTTTCAGTTTCTGGTCATCAGCACTTGTTAAATTGGTTTGTCATCTATTTTATAGATCAATTCGAAACACATTTTCAAATTTGGTATCTCTTTTTTTTTGGGTACAATAAATTTGGTATCTCTAACTCTATCACAAAATACACAACATCAGAGATACAGTATCCGGTAACTCTTCTACATGAGATTAAATGTTATGTGCTGAAATTAAAATTAGGTGTTTCTGCAGTTTCTGTACTCAATACTCATTATAAAAAACGACACAATTATACATCTTCACATTTTCAAGCAAAAACTGATAAGATTAACGATACTTTATGATGCATAACAAACAACGCATAAAGTCATTTCTTGCAGAAAACTACATATCTCAGCTGCATGCAATTACAGAAGAAAGTTGGTCAATTCCCAAACAAGAAAAACTTACCCCCGCATACCTCTACTGGGTGTGCCTACCGAAAACTTATTATAAGGGAAATACAGAACCTCGTATATTTACAAAAAAAACAAGAGTACACATCTTAATAAGCAACAACAAAACCAAGGCAAAGGGGACAAAGAAAAAGTGGGACCAACCTTCTTCTAGTGCCTCCTGTGCCTTCTGCAGTTGACACATAGACTCGAGCAAAAGATCATGATCGGACGAGTAACCATGATTCTCACCTCTTCCCTTTTCAGCATCCCCAGACAAAGGTTCATAACCTCCTTCATTACCAAATGGCCCATCACCATCCTGAACCTCGTGACCATTTTCACTTCGTACTCCATTACTCATCACATGATTTGCCTGAGCAAACACGAATAAATTCGAGCTACGCAAATCGGACTCCAAGCTTGATCGCGAGTTTTCCTTCTCAATTTTAACCCGCTCTCCTCTGGCCTTCTTGGGAGCCTCCACCTGGCCCTTTCCCTTCTCCCCGCGTTGCCCAGAGTGGTGACTCGGACCATTCCCTCCCAGAATCCCCATTTTGCCCTTATCTTGAGGAAATCCCACAACAGGCGGCATATCGTATTTCATGTTTGGAAAACTTGCTGCAGTCGATGATATGCTGCTGTGATCCTCACCATTCTCAGAATCTACCCCAACACTATCAACTGAAGCCCCCACAAAAGCACCAAAATTACTAACCGCGGGATTCGGGGATGAAACAGAGCCTTCGGACTTTTGCTGCCTCTCGGCATAAACTTGAGTTCGCTTGCTTGGATTCGAAACTAAGTTCGATACCTCGTGCATCATCATTTTCCCAGTTTCTGGGCTACTGTCCCTGCCTCTAGTGACATCCCTCTTGATCCTTCTCCATTTCTTCAATCCGTACCCTTTCCTCAGTTTCATCTCTTGAGAAGATGAACCTACTGGAACCGATGGTTCAGTGCCTTTTCCATTAACATCAGGGAGTACATGTAAATCACCACCGTGACTATCTTCCAAAGAACCATTTTCGCCGAACTTGGATTCGGTAAAAGTTTCCGATTTTTTGACCTCTTCATTATCTTCGGCCGGAGCATGGCCTGGACTCTTATTTCCCGAATCCATCTCCTACTAAAACCTAAATCCCAGCTCGCCTGTGCTCTATATCGATTGAAAATCACCCCGGAACTTCGTTCACATCAAGATCGAGAACAAGCAATCATCAAATCCAACTTCAAATAAATGCACAATACTAGCCAAATTCGATTCAATTCGGATCAGCTCCCTCAGAACCCAATTCGATTCAATTTCCTCCGAATAAAACTGGAAATCAGCTACATAAAAGTCACAAAGCAATCGGAAAATGATCTGACCAATCAATACCGTGAATCGACGTGCCGTACCTTGAGCTTGAGGAAGAGATCAAGCGCCAAAAGCAGATGCGAAACCCTAGACAATTGAGGGTGGAATTTTGGGGGATTCGGCCGCCGTGAAATGCAAGGTGCTGATTTGATTCGTGCGATCAAAAGGGTAACAGTAGTGATTGGAGAATGATAAAAGGAAAAAAAATAATAAAAAAAAGGGATATTAGGTGGAATAATGGAGATGGGGCCGTGTGGACAACTAGTGTGTGTTGCTCAGAAGGTCTATCTGGAATCCACATGACTAAGTTCAGCATTTCACTATTTTTGCATTCTTTCGTAGATAGTAATAATAACTAACTAGATATTGGATGTTGTGCATTTGCACATATATAAATAAAATATTATAAATTATTTATATCTATATAATATAAAATTATAAGTTAAGATAATAGTATTAAATTTTAAACATAAAATATTATAAGTTATAAATTAAAATTATTAAATACATTGCAAGATCATTTTTGTAGGAGAGTTTTATTTCATGGATTGGATTTTTTAAAATATTTGATGAATTTTTGTAATATCTGAAAATATTTTTATTTATTATTGTACGACTGCAGTAAAAAATAGAAATATTTGTAGTCATTCTTAACTAATTGTGAAATGTATATATATAATATAAATATATATATATATATATAATCAAAATAAAAACAAATATATTTTGTATTTTAGGACATAAAAAGGCGTTATAGAAATAACACCTTTCAAAATAGAACATGTCAAAATAAATCATGTAACTGAAAGTGACATGTTTTTATTAAATGGTGACTATATTTTTATTAAATGAACACCTATTTTTATTAAATGAACTACTATTATTATTAATTATTGACTAAATAAAATTTATTGAAACTTGTCAGCAATTAATCAAAATATCTTTCATCATTTGGAAACAAGTGGCGATTATTTTATTCTTTCCACCTGTGGTGCGCTTGGGTTGGCCCATCTGGCACCATACTGTTTCCTTTGCCTTCTGGATGCTGCCATGTTGGTTCTTGGGGTTGATCTACCGACCTGTGATTAGTATTAGATTTCTCTTAATATACCATTCAGCTTGGATATCAGCAAATATACAACCAGATTTATTTTTATATGTAAAATTATGAAACAAAAATACAAATCCAAAATTTCCGTTCATAATTATAAATATGTTGGATTGGAAATATAATTCTTATCCTTAATTTGAGGGAACAAAAATATTGTACTTTTTAAATAAATACATAATTCTATTTGATACATAAAAAAGGAAATAAAAAATGTTTAGGTTTGAATGATTTTCTGAATATCCGTTAATGGCAACTCAAATATGGTTGACCGAAATTACTTAATAAAAGTAAAAAAATCCAACATCTTTCAATTAGTATAAATTTCAATAAGAACTGAAGGGATTCACAAATGTCGGTCCTCGATAAATAGTTATAAAGATAAATTATGTGAAGAAGACTAGATAAAAAAAAATAATAGCAAAAAAAACCTAAAAAATTCGATTAAATTATAATCATAATTATGGACTGATTGATTTAATATTAAAAAGAGGTGTATTTATAAACTAAGTAAGGGCGTGCTTGTTTATGAAATATTACATTCAAAATGAGTTATTTTAGTTAACTATAGTTAATTTTGAAAAAGATAGTATGGTTAATTGCTAGTGAGATTTTAAATATATATTAAAATAATATTTAAAATAAAATAATTATTAATGATTTGATGTAAAAGTATAATATAAATGATTGAAAATGATGAGTAGTTAAAATTAAATGAGTGGATGAATAGTGAATTAAAACTGATGTGATGTGTAAAAATGATTGGTTTATAATATTTAATTATATAAATAATATAAATGATAGTGGGATTGAAGAAATTGAGTTAGATTTTGAGTGTGAAATGAATTATTTCATAAACAAGCGTACCTAAGTGTAAATAGCAACACCCTTTTATTTATTTTGTGTTTTGGGGCCGACATTCATGTAGCCTTTGCAGTTGTGTAACCTCTTCTATCATACACCAATCGGTCCAGCTTAATCCCATCTCTTTTTNNNNGTCATTCATCTCCTTTATTGTTTGAATTTATTTCCTTCACAAAATACCATTTTCGTATTGATGTTTTAAGAAAGGGTAATGTTATTTAGCCACTCGAATGACAACTTAGATTACAATCTAAGTGTAATGCATTATAAAAAAAATAAAAAAATAATGTATTTAGACTTAAGTTGTAACTCAAATTGTTATCCAAATAGACTCTATAGCATTGCTCTTTTTAACTACAAAGAGTTACTTTTAAAAAAAAAAATTCTCTGTTGGAATGTCACTTGTGAGTTGTCCCACATTGATTTGATAGGGTAAATGAGCCTAGTTTATAAGCCTAGTGGGTTACTCCTCTCATCACCAATTAATTTTGGGATGGAACCTCACGTGAACTTCATTTAGACTAACTCTCTTATGGTGCGCTTCACCTGTGTGGGACCGCATTCGTTTGGCCTCGTTTGACAATCTCCTTATTACTTTTCTATGCCAGCCCCTTCTCTGAATTTTACGTACAGTGTTATACATACTTCTAAAATGAGACCATCAAATTTCAATCCTTTAATTTAAAATTTTGTGGTAGGAGTATAGGCATTTTCATGAAATAGCAACTTTAATAATAAGCCTTACGCAGTTTCGGAATATCAACTCACACATTCTTAAATTGGAGGCCTTCCGGCTTTCACTTGTTACGTACAAAATTTAAAAGGTATTTAAATGTTATTAATATTCAAAATTAATACATAGGGTCCGTTTTGGTAAATGGTGTTTTGATTAAAAAAATTAGCTATTTGAACACTTATCAATCCCCTAAGGCTATGTTTGGTTCAAGGGAAGAAAAAGGAGGGGAGGAATTTTAATGGAAGGGACGAGAGGAGAGGGAAAGTGATGTAAAGTAATTTTACCTTGTTTGGAAGGATTTTATATGAGGGGAGGGGAATGAAAATGGTAAACCTTGTTTGGTTTAAAAAGTAAGGGGAGAGAAAATAAAATTATATAGACAAATATATCCTTCTTTATTATGTAACAGTGTGTTTGTAAGATTATGTTGAAGAAGGGCATATTAGTACAATCAACTATAAATTTTTTCTTCCCCTCCAAATTTCCTCAAAATTGGAGGAGAGCTGATTTTCTTTTCAGGAGGAAATTGAGCCATAAATTTTACCTCCCTTTCCTGCACAAAAACGAACTAAACAAGGGAAAACTGCAAAACTCCATCCCCTCCCCTTCTTTTTCCTCCAACCAAACACTACGTAAGAAGCCGTTTGGTTAGCATCTTTAAACAACCAAAATAGAAAACGCTGTTTGATGGAGCATGTATTTGTATGTAGCTATTGGACTAAAATAATTATCATGTCCTTAATTGTCCACTTAATTTGGCTTGAAAAAAAAAAAATACTAGAGTTTGATGAAGAATGGATTTATAGAGTAAAGTGTTGTATTTAATGATGGAGTCTTACAACTAATAATAGAGGGGAGTTTCATAAAATATCAAGTCTTCAACTTGAAACTGAATGATTAATTGTTGTTTCATAAAAAAAGTAAAATAAATATAATTTGTTAAAGAAAGAAGCAATGAATATATATAAAAAAAATTCTTACAAGAAAAGAAAGAGATACTGATAAATATTTGTTATTTGGTTCGTTATATTATTATTAAATAATTTTATTAAATATTAAAGATATAAATGACAATTTTTTAAGAAACGATTATTACAAGTATACAAAATTTTAAATTATGTTAATGTTCTCATAAGTATTTTTAAATGTTAACCACTAATAGTAAGCATCTAATTACCTCTACCAAACATAATTTTACAAAACACCGTTGGTCAAAACAACTATTAAAATCTGCTAGTCAAAAGTCAAAACAGCTGACATAATCCACTAGTTACCAAGCAGAACAAATAATTGTCAAAAAAAGCCCATAATAGTTTTATTTTTTGGTCCACCACCATAATGCATCTCAATTTGAAAAGATTTCAACAAAAATGTAGTACTTATATTTTAAGCGAAACAAAATATTCCAAAACACTTCTTACCTACATACTCATAAAAATATTCCAAAACACTTCTTACCTACATACTCATAGGTCGCCTAAATCAATATAAACCAATTCCAATATTTATTTGACTCTATACTCCTTTGCTTAAAAGGTTGTTTCGTCATTTAATTTTTCAATTAGAAATATATAGTTTNCCACAAAAAAAAAAAAAAGTTAATGGTTATTGACAAAAAATTTCATGTCCTAACAAGGACCAACAATAAACAGTAGTACAACAAAAAAAATATTTCATCTCTTAAAAGATAAATAAAATAAATCTTAGAATGAATTAGACAATGCTTTAGAATGGATGTGAAAGATGGTCTCTCTAGCAGCATTAAGGAGGATCCCTGGGTACCATCTCTCAAAAATGGTATTCCTACTCTAAAACCCGGAATCTCTTGTGATTTAGTAAGGGTTTATCAACTTCTAGAAGAGGGGGGTAGAAGATGGAATTTTAACCTGTTGCAATCTTTTTTTGATGATCAAACCCTCAAAGCAATTCAGGAAATAAAAACCCTTGACCCATTGACAAAAGACAGATGGAAGTGGAGCATTGATCCCAAAGGAGAATTCTCAGTTGCTAGCGCATACTCATATCTGGTTAAGCAAAAAGTCTTATCATTGGATATTCCTGAAGGGAGCAACTCTGCTGGTCAGGATAGGGCAGTTAGGATCAGAAGTTGGAATTTAAAGGTCAAGAGCAAGCTTAAACACTTCCTTTGGAGGTGCTACACAAATACTCTGCCTACAAGTCATAATCTTAAACTCAGAGGTATGCAGGTTGATCCCTTATGTCAGCATTGTGGAGAGGAGCTTGAGACCGTTGAACACACCCTTTTATTTTGCTCAAGAGCTCAGACAGTTTGGCATCTTTCCCAGTATCATGGGTAGATATTTCTCATAATTCTCAGACTTTTAAGAACTGGTGGTGGATGGTTTGTTCTCTAGATAGATCCAAAATCTCTCAAGATCGAATTCAGCTCTCCACTTATATATTATGGTGGTTGTGGAAGTCCAGGAATCTCTGGAAATTTCAGAACTCCATTATCCCTGAAGCTGAAGTAGTGAAAGCTGCTGTGAAGGATTGGACAGAGCTCAAATACTGCTAGCTGACAAGAAGCATGGCCAGGTCCTCTGTGGTTCAGTGGTGTGCTGCTTGGTTTGGCTCTCACTTTTGCTCTTTCGCTATTCCTGCTACTTATTGTTGTCACCGAATTATTTTAATTTTGCTATAGGTATCAGTTGTTATGGCTGCCTCTAGCTTATGTAATAGTTTTGTCTATATTTGGGTTTAGATAGTTGTAACTTTTCTGTTTCTTTTCTTGTGTTTAGGGCACCATAGTGTGTGTACCTCTTGTATTTTATTTTAGGGATTAGTACATCCCTCGGTTTGTAAGACATATTTATCCTGTTTTTATGAGTATTTCCTCTGCCGTTTTTGAAAAAAAAAAAAATTAGACAATGCTTTAATTTATTTGTAATAGAGCTTTCTCAACTCTCAAGCAATTATAAATTAGCCAACTATTCCAGTTGACAGACTTCAAATTCAAATTTATCAATGTACTTATTTCATTGATTACAACTTAATTATCAAGGTTATAATGCAAAATATTATTCAATAAAAGTAATAATTAAATTTTCTCCTTATGGTATTGTTCGTCTGCTTGTTTTATACACATTTATACTTTAAGGGAAGGTACCAAACTTTATGTTGGCTAATAAATGGATAATTAAATGTATTGTCTACATCACAAGCAACAAGATTGAAGTTTTGAACAATCACATATTCCAATCATATAGTACTTGCTTTCATCTTATTATTCAATCTTCAATAACTAAAGATTAAATACTATGAATTACCTGAAAAATAATTATCAGGCCAGTGAAAAAGTCGCGATTAATAGATAAAATTACCCATAATCATTATTACCCGTACAAAAACATAATTAATCTTTTATTTAAAAAAAAATCAAACACTTGGTTTAAATTTGAGGTTTAAGTTTTTACCCACATAAAAAGTGCGTACATATAATTGGCTACATTATAAGTTTACAACTACATATATACATGCACTCATAACTTAATTGTTCATGTTTATTTATTTTCCTTGATAGGCAAAAAAGAAGATGTATATATGAAATTTATTCATGTTTATTTGCCCTCCTCGAGTAAAAATAATTCGAAAATTTACATGTTTATAATTTATTTAATCTATAACAAGATCAAAATTAACCAGAATTCAATGGAAATTATAACGTACCAGAAAATAGGGAACTGTCCTAATCTAGAAGAACAAAAAATGCAAAATTATAAACAATTCAACCTTATTAATTAACAACCTCATTACATAAGTAAAAATAATGAAATCAAATATTATATTATTACTTTATTTTTAAATAGACAACGTACTTGTATTAACCTCAGCATTATAAAGTGTTACGTTGTTTTATACTCATTATTCCTCGTTTAATTTTAATTAACTATATAGAGACCATATGCAATTAGCAACTGCTTCCAATATACTTAGACAAAGAAGGTAACCCTCAGACTTACAGAAAAACAAATCAGTTAAATATAGTGGTAGAGTTTTGCATGGTGAGCCAAGTGAAATTAATTAACTACGAAATTGAATTATTATTATCTAACAATTTATATAATAATTCGCATATAATAATTCGCTAGTTAAATTCGTTGCAAACTAATCACTGATACAATCATCATTTATTAGCTATTTGTTAATAGTCAAACAAGGTCAATATGCAATTAGCAACTTACAAATTAATTTTAACAACGAAATTAATCCTTACTCTAAAAGTAAAAAACAAAAAATAAAAATAAAAAATCAGTTAAATATGGTGGTAGACTTTTGCATGATGAACCGGGTTCATTTTACCAAAAAGAGCTATTTATTTCCATTAATTATTTTGAAAAGCAATCCTTACAATTCCCATCACAGACCATATTTGGGTGTCTCGAGTACAAACAAGAATTTAATAGAGAGAAAATGTTGCAAAGTGCAAAATGAACCCATTTATATTTTAACAGTACCAATAATGCATATACAGATCGATTCAATGAAACGAAGACTTTGGGGGATGTGAATCAGTAATTACACCTCATGCCATCACTATTATTAAAAAGAAATATATATAATAATAATTNAAAGTTGCAAGTCTTCGAGCCACATGCAACCAGGTTGCCAGCAGAGGTACACTATTATTAAATTAATGACACAATTAAGAAAAGAATTAAGGATTTGATAATAAGGTTAGTGGCTGAAAAGGACAACTAGATTATGTTGATCATCTCAAGATATATGCAACTAAACATTTTTTTTTTGAACAATCAACTAAACATTTGATTATGAAGGGATTATTTTATTAACAAGGGGAGATTCCATCCTTGAGGAAATTTGAGTACAATTGAGACAACTAATATATATGTAATTTCCTAATTTTGGAATAATTTATATGAAAAACAATGTTTACAGGATAAGATAAGTACGTGTTTTTGTTCGAAAATTACGATTGGTCAATCAGCCTAACTATTAGATTATATTAGAACTACATTTGTGTCAATGAATTTTGAGCTTATTAGCTAGATCATTCACATCATTAAGTGCAAAAGCCGGAAGAGACATTATGATCATAATGTACATGTAATACAAGTCATATAATTCATTTTAAATTAATCACTGTCCAGCTTTTATCAAACCATAATTTATTACTTNTTACTTTGAATGCCCTATGATATTGTGATTGCAATTCAAGGTTTTGATTATTAAGAGTTATGAGCTCAGAAACTTTTATACTTACTGAAATTGTCTTGAATTACTCTTCTTAATGATAAAATAAATAAATAAAAATTATTGAATGAAGTTTGCATTAAAAACTTGTCAGAACTCGTACCCCTAGTAAATAAACAAAGTCACAAAAAAATGAGACACTGTTAGCAGTTATTAGAAAACAATTGCATTATTCGTTGAAGTTAAATTCATCTTTGAAGGAAAAAATAATCACCTATGGTTCTTAATTAGCTAGCTAGCTAACATAATTGTATGCCTAATTGTTGTGCACTTGGTTATTTAGACTTTAATTAACTAACAACGGTCACAATTGGATTTATGAAGGGGACATGAAAGCAAATATTGTGTAGGAGAATTTCAAAATTTTAACATAGATAAGATTTGCAATATGAATAATTTTATTTTAATATCTACCAGGGAGGATTCTAATATTTTTACATAAAAAAATCCTCACTGATTTAATAAAGGTTGTGTTGCACTCACAGTGGATTGGAGAAATTTTCTTGGGTGGAAAAAAATATAAAATTAACTAAAATCAGATTTGCAGAAAATTTGGAGGCCAAAATGGTCAAACATGTATATAATAATAATAAAAAAAAAGGAAGTGCTTAGCAGTTAGCACTCATAATTTTCATTAGGAGCTCATTAATTAAATCTTTTGTGCAATTACACAGTAATCATATATTCTTCACCATCAAAATATGCAAAAAGAACTTGCCATATGACAATATGAGCTCTTCCAAAACTTTCTTTCTCTCTTTTTTGAAGTCCAATTTTCATCAATAGGTCAGTCCTCAGTTGGACTGGTCTTGGTTCAATTTCCAGTGCAAAATAATTTGTCACATATATATGTCAGATGAGTTCACAACCAGAGGAAACCCTACTTGCATTTTCACATGATAATAAAATATTCTCTTGTTTCTATTCAAAAGCTTTAGTATTTTTTACTTTTTATTTTTTGAAGTCCTTATTAGTTATTAATTTATTATACAACTTAGTTCTCATTAACATTAGACAACAAAGTTCTGAGTTCATGTTTTGTTTCCAAAACCCAATGCCCTTTTTCCTAATAGTTCTTTCTGACCAATCTTTGGCTTCTTCAAATTAAAAGGGGCAAAAAAGGAAAGTCATCACTATTTATTATTTTACTGTAATTTAAACTTGGGTTGATAATCCTACAACACAAAATACAGAAAGCAATACACCTAGCCCAAAGGCCAAATCTATTAAAACTTAACAACCTTAGAATATTACACCATTTACTACACTCTGCAGCTCCTTTTGAAGCATTTACTTACTACCTTTTATTTTTATGTTAAAAAACCTCATAGATCCCATCCTATAATTCCAACCCATAGTTTAGTTTCTCCCATTTGTACACCTTGTTCTTGAAAGAGAGAGAAAATAAAATACAATGGTCTCTGTTGAATTACAGGAAAGAAGGGGTGTCACCCCACAACTCTATTCTTGAGCCTTCACTTCAAATGAAATTTTATGTTAATATCTTGTTTTTAAGCATAAAGGGTCTTCTCATTTTGCCAATGATGGTCTCACAATGTTCACCATGATAACAAAATCAAAGTTGAAAAAAAAAAAATGCCTTTTTGCATTTGTTTATATGACTTCACTTGTTTATCATCTACATTTTTTGGCACTTATTAGTCTGATACATTCTTGTAACAGTAAAAGCTGAGGAGGGCTTTCTGATTTTTTTTCTGACTTGTGAGAGAGGCCCCACTATGTGAAGCAGATGAAGATGAAGATGATGCATTTGATGCTCTGTTCAAAAGCTTCCACTGTTGGATTCGTCTTCACAGTCTCAGCCACACATTGTTGAATTTCACCCCCCAAAAAAAATCCAATTGTCCTTGTTTAAAAAAACAAAAAAGATTGTATTTTTCTTGTGAATGTACCTGAAAAAAAATCTGCTGCTCATTCTGTAATCAGAACATGGCATTTTCCTGTGATTTTTCATCAAAAGTAGCCACATTCTTGAAAAAAGTAAAATAAAAAAGAAAAACAAAATTGTTATTTTCCTTTTTCCATTTTCAAGAACAACAAATTTTTTTTACCTCCACCATGGATGAAGAAGCAAACGCCAAGGCCCTAACCATCAAGATCGCAAACGCCGGCGGGAAGAAACCCGCCAGCAACTCGGTGTCCTCGTCGCCGTATAACTCGCCGTTGGTCTCCCCGCCGTCGTCGGCCTTCGTGTCCGCCCTGCAGTCTCCGTACATTTCCCCGCGGGCGGTCTCCTCCTCCACCGCCGCCGCCGCCGACACCGGCGACACCCCTGTCCCCGGCGAAGGGAGTTGCCCCACTCCGGCGACCTCCCTAACTCACCCTTCCCCGCCGGTATCTTGCTCCGGCTCCCAGTCCGACGACATCCCCAGCACCTCCCACACTCCGCCGCCGGAGAAACCGGCGGCGGCGGAGCCGGCGCCGCGAATTTCGTTCTCGTTCCAGATCCCAAGAATCTCCTTCGCCAAGGGCTCCGTCTCACCGGCGTCGAATGCCAAGCTCCGGAGCTGCGACGTCTACATCGGGTACCACGGCCAGAACCCTAATCTCGTCCGCCTCTGCAAGTGGCTCAAATCGGAACTCGAAATCCAAGGCATCGCCTGCTTCGTCGCCGACCGAGCCAGATACTCCGACAACCAGAGCCACGAAATCGCCGACAGGGTCATATCCTCCGTCGCTCACGGCGTCGCCATCATCACCGCCGCCAGCCTCTGCAACCACCTCACCCTGGAAGAGATCCGGTTCTTCGCCCAGAAGAAGAACCTCATCCCCCTGTTCTTCGACACCGACGCCGGCGAGATCGCCGGAATCTTCAACCCCCACGCCGGCAACAAGGAGTTCAAAGAAGCCTTGGATGGCCTCATGAGATTCCACGAACACAAGCTCGAGGCAAACGATGGCAATTGGAGGAACTGCGTGCACAGAGCCGCCGGAATACTAAGATCGAAGCTCGGACGAAAAAGCCTCGCCGGAAAAGAACCAGACACCCACGACGAACTCCCATTCCCGAGAAACAAACACTTTTTAGGGAGGCAAAAAGAGCTCATGGACATCGAAACCGCATTTTTCGGGTGTGGCGACTATTGGGACCAAGAATGCAACGGAAACTCTCATAGCGGTAAAACCGAGCCCGGGCCCGGGCCCGGACAGTCAGACGGGCTTGCCGATGGAGAGAGCGAGGCCGATGGGGCCAAAGGTAAATACATTAGCTTGGAAGTTGGGAGGTGCCGAGAACCGAACCTCGAGGCATGGGTCGAGCCCGTCATCAGCCGGAGCTCACTTAAAAGGCCCAAATACAAAAAGACGAAGAGCGGGAAGTATAGTAGCATCGTGTGCATAAAGGGGTCGCCCGGCATTGGGAAAACCGAGCTCGCCTTGGAATTCGCGTACCGTTACTCACAAAGGTACAAGATGGTCCTTTGGGTCGGAGGCGAATCTAAGTACTTTCGGCAGAACATATTGAATCTATCCGTAAGCATGGGATTAGACGTAAGCGCCGACGAGGAGAGGGAACGAGGAAGGATCCGTAGCTTCGACGAGCAAGAATCGGAGGCTTTCAAACGGGTCAAAAGGGAGCTCTTTCGCGACACGCCTTACTTGCTCGTGATCGACGATTTGGAGAACGAGAGGGAGTGGTGGGAAGGCAAAGACCTTCACGACCTCATCCCGAGGAACACTGGCGGGACCCATGTCATCATCACGACCCGTCTCCCGAGAGTGATGAGCCTCGACCCGATGCACCTCCACCCGCTTCCCTACCTCGAGGCGACGACCCTAATCCGGGGGAGGCGGAGGAGGGAGTATTCGGCCGACGAGCTCGACTTCCTCACTAAATTCGACGAGAAGTTGGGTAGGTCGGGCTTCGGGCTTTCGGTCGTGGGCTCGTTGCTCTCCGAGCTCTCGATCGGGCCCTCGGAGCTATTCGAGGCGGTCTCCCGCCAGGCCCAATTCGACGAGACAATGTTCGGTCCTCCTCCAACGAGCCCGTTTCTGACGAAAGTCCTCTCGTTCTGCACCGACGTGCTCGAGCGGAAGGGCGGGGCCCGCAACGCCCTCTCGTCGAGGATGCTTCGGGTCGGGCCGTGGCTCGCGCCGGGCCCTGTCCCGGCGGATTTACTAGCGGCCGCGGCAAGCCACGTGCCGCCGTCCGGCGGGAGGAGGAAGAAATGGGCCAAGTGCGTTGGGCCCGCGCTATCGTGCTTCTTTGCGGGCCGAACGTGGAAGTGTGGGGACAATGACTCGGCCCAACTTCTAATCCGGCTTGGGCTGGCCCGGCGGGCCATCCGGCAGCCCGGGCAGCTATGGATCCAATTCCACCCTACCGCCCGAGAATTTGCGGAATGGAGATACGGCGGCGGCCCGTTAGCAGCGAAGGCCACGGTACAAGGGATGAGGAAAATCGGGAGCCCGATCGCGACACCGGACCATCTTTGGGCAACGGCGTTTCTCGTTTTCGGGTTCAAGAACGAGCCACCGCTCGTCGAGCTCAAGCCGGCGGAGATGGTCCTTTACATCAAACGAGCCGCGATTCCGCTGGCTATACGAGCGTTCACGGCGTTTTCGCGGTGCAACTCGGCGTTGGAGCTGTTGAAGGTGTGCACGAACGTGCTCGAGGAAATCGAGAAGTCATTCGTTTGCCAAATGCAGGATTGGTGTCACGGGTCTTTGTGCTGGAAGAAGAAGAAGATGAAGTCGGGAGGGGAAAGTAGTGGAGTAGACGAGCACGTGTGGCAAGAGGTGACTCTGCTGAAAGCGGCTCTGTTGGAGACGAGGGCTAAGCTGTTGATTAGAGGGGGGAATTTTGATAGTGGGGAGGAGCTTTGCCGGACGTGCATTAGCATAAGAACGGTGATGCTCGGGCATAATCACGGGCAGACGCTAGCGGCTCAGGAGACACTGGCCAAGCTGGTAAGGATGAGGAGCAAGATTTGATGCTTTTTCGAAAACTCTTCTTTTTTTGCGCAATTTTGGTGAGATTTGTGATGTTTTATGGCTTGTGTGGCTGCTGCTAAGTGTGGGTAGTTATAGTCAGTCAGTTAGTTAGTTTATGTAAGTTGTCTTGTAACATGAAAAAGAAGGAAAAGATAGGAGCTTTTTTGACCTTTTATGTGGAACAGTGGAAGTTGGATTTTCTGTGAGGCATTTGGTCGAACAGGTATTGTGCATGCTGTGTAAGAAAAAAGGGCTTCCATTGGGACAAAATGGCGTCTTTTGCGATGGTTTATTATTTATTTATTTATTTACAAGTCATTGTTATTCTTTAAGTTTGGTATCTATATTTTTATAAATTTACTTTCCTCTTTATCTTTTTACGTGGTTTTAGTGATAAGGCGGTTCATCAATTTTCAAGACAGTTATTGTCTATCTTTATTGTCAAATATTTTTAAAGATTTTTTTTCTAAAATTATGACTGTTCATCTTCTTTTTTCTTCTTCATCTTATTTTCTCCTCGCCAGATGTAACCCCCTGATTCTCTCTTAATTGGCAACCCTATGCATCCTCAATTTTTTTCTCTCTTCACCTCATGAAACCGCCGGCGCCGTGGTGCAAATTCCTCAGCCGCCCCTAGTGTTCGCCGCCGCGATCGACAAAACCGGGGAGGTCTCCCCTCGTCGTGTTCGATGAATACCAGTGGTCGATTTCTAGTTTTCCGAGGTCATGGACATGGTGTTGGGAATAGCATGTGCTCGAAGAGGTGGTCGAGGCGTCGGAGATTGGGAGGCAGAGGTCGTTGAAGGAGAAATCAATGATTTTTTTTTTTTTTTTTTGAGATTGTGAAATTGTGAAAATTGTTGGACAGGGAACGTTGGGTATCAATGGAGTGAATTTTCGTTTTCTAATGAGTGAATAGGTAGTTGCGTAATGGTTGTTTTCAATCATTATATTTTATATATGTTAAAGCGAATTGGTAGCGTATTCTATTTATTTTTTTTTTCAATTTGTTCATTGGTAGTGTGTTTTAATTTTTGTTTTAGTTGTTCATTTGCATGGTGATTTGTGTAAATAAAAATATATTAAGTTGGTGTAAAAACAATTCGGTTGTTTAATGATTTAAATGGTGATTTGTGTATATACAAAAATATATTCAGTTGGTGTAAAAACAAATTGTGTTGTTTAATGATTTAAATTTGAGCAGTTATTAATTTTACGTATTTTAGAAAACTAATCTGTAATTTACTAAATGATCTCAATAGTTAGTTTTTTCATAAACTTTTTTTCTATACTAGGCAGTTACGTAATTTAGCCTTCGATTGGAGTCCAAAGTGATGGCTGAATTATGGCCCAATTAAGTAGCCCATCAAAGGGGTTTCCCTTGTGCTAATCTCGTGGACTTATTAACGTATTAGGTTCCATAAATTCAATACAAATTACATACTACCTCCTATTCTTTTTAAATCTCATTTTAACTTTATCAACTATTAACTAAAAGAATTATCGATTTGGATCTTTTGTATATATATTTTTCCATTATTACCCTCATTTGGTTAATAAATACACTTATATTTTTCAATTATTACCCTCATCTATATATATATAATAAGAATTAACATTTACCAAAAATAGTAGCAAAAAAATAGGTCAGAATTTAATGCAGCCTATAAATAGTAAGTTTTATTATTTTTCTTATTTTTTCTTTAAAAATCATACAACATTAAATGTTACCTTAAATTTCGGGCTTTAGTTTATTTTATTATTTAAAAAATTCGGTTAAGATTTATTAAGTGTATGTTTTTGTTTTTATTTTTTTCTTAGAAACAACTAACAAAATTAAAATATCGGTCTTTATATTTATAAAATCTCAATTCAAAATATAACAAAAGTTTTAGAATCTCGGTCTTTATATTTGTGTTTTTTTTAAAAAAAAAAATTGAACGCTAAAAATATTCTTTAAATTGCATAATCAATCAATTAATCTTAATTTTTTAAAAATTACTATGTTTATTTTTTATTAATATGCATAAAGTACAAATAATTAATCCATCTTAAGATATGTAATTTATAATCTTAATATACTATCATTTGGTGTAGACATTTATTATATGAATCATAAAATATTTTTATTTCATAAAATTAAATATATTTAAAGAAAATAAGAAAATTTCTTCAGATCAATCAGGTGATTGACTTAGGGTACTGCCCAGGTTGATTGAATTACTTTTAGGTGATATTTAAAATAGTCAAAAAACTTAACACAACTTGGTTGGTCCCAGGTGACTAAGTTACGAATCAGTTCGATCACACCAAATCGATTATTGAACCTAAATATAAATTTTATATTGAAAATATTTTATTACGTGAATGTGATGTAGTCCAAATTTCAAATAATCGTATTAACAATACTTTTATGACAACATGTTTAATGATTTATGAATATTTATATATCATTTTATTAATATTTATGTGAATAAGAAATATTCTATTATAATATTTATTAATGTACATTAAATATAAGGTTCTCAGAACTGGACCGTCATCGAAACGATCAAGCTATTTTATTAAATCATTTGTGGTTTGTTCAGATTTTAATTTATAAATATTTTAATATTTATATATATATATATAGTATTTTTTGTAATAAATTTAAATAAAATGTGTTACTTAGATATTTAAAAAAATTATAAATTCAAGTGTTTAAACTAATTGATAAATAATTTATAAATCTCTATTTTATTTAAATATGTAATTTTATTTAAAATAATTTTAAATATAACAAAATTTATTTAAAAAATCGTGTTGATCCTACAAATCCAACCGACTGGTGTTGACGGATTCAAGAACAAATATCTTATTCAAGCGAACTAGACTGGTTATAAATCGGTTCTCCGTCCATCCGGTCGGATTATGTCCAACCCGGTTTAATGTAAAAACAATACATAAATCATGATTAATGTTATTTATATATTTAATTTATAATACAATCGTAATATTGTTTACTCGTGCATTGCACGGGCCACGCACTAATTTAGTTAATAAATACACTACGTCTTTTCATATTCTCTTCATATTTTTTTTAAAACATTCATCTCTATCTTCATTAATGAGGATTATTATTGGTAAAAAAATTATTCTTAATTAGTGTGCAATTTTCCAAAACGACACTTTAAATAGGAGGGAGTAATGTTTATTTTGCATTATTAAATAGGATGTTGCCTATTAACTCCTCGTAAATACACCTCCTTTTAATATTAAAATGTACTACCTCCTATTCTTTTTAAATGTCATTTTAGTTTTATTAACTATATCCAAATAAATGTCATTTTGGATCTTTTGTACATATTTTTCCATTATTACCCTCATTTAGCTAATAAATACACTACGTCTTTTCATATTCACTCTTCATTTTTTCCCAAAACATCATTCTCTATCTTCATTAAAGAGGGTTATTATTGACAAAAAAAATATTCTTAATTACTGTGCAACTTCTTAAAACGACATTTATTATGAATAAGAGGAAGTCATTGCGTAATTAATATACTTTCAATTGAATTTGTAACTTTTTTAATATATTTTTTTTCGGTATTCTTCATAAAATACACACTTAGATCAATTTATCGAGTCATTGATATTTTTTTTTTTACATAATATTCATAGTTTTATGTTTACTAAATGTTCATTTAATTGCTGCTCGAATTTTTTCACAGTATTGCAAATTTATGTAGTACATGCTACATATAATCGAAGTCTCATTGGTGTTTTCAATAAGAATTTATTAGTTAACCTTTGGCTAAATAAACATTTACAAATGTATTGCTAAACATTTCAAACATTAATAAATTATGATGCTTATAGATAAGGATTTACATTTACTAGATAATTTGTGTAGTCTCTTTAGAAATATGATGATTGTGCGTCACACATCAATAATTATATAGTGAATCAAAATTCACGGTATTTATGGAGCTCGTGATTTATATTAAAACTACTGCCGACTAAAATTAACTAGAATATACCTGAAAAAATACATTGCCCCTGGATAACAAATAATTTCCCTATCGTTTTAGAAAAAAAAAAAAAACAAATAATTTCAAAAAATTGCTAGCGAGATTGGATTTTATTCAGGTGACACCCTAAAACCGTATGTTAGTCAACTTTTATGAATATTCCCATTCTCCCGTGAACAAATAACAATAATAATAATAACTAATACGACTAGAGTTGTTTGAAAAAAAAAATATAAAACATAAAATAATAGAAAAAACACATGTTGTTGTATAACTCTTTCAACTCTTTAAAATATATTAGAAAGATTATGTAATATTCTATAACTATTTCAATATATTTTTATAGATATTTTAAAAAAGATTTAAATAATTTATTTACTTCATCAAAATTTATTTTATTTTTATTTCAACTCTTTAAAATATATTAGAATGATCATGTAATATTCTATAACTATTTCAATGTATTTTTATAGATATTCTAAAAAGATTTAAATAATTTATTTACTATGGTTGAATTGAAAAGATATAATATGCAAGTGGCTATATATGTCTAATTTATTTTTGTAACAACATCATATACTCTTATATATTCAATAAATTTCATAAATAGTCAAAAACCACTTTTTCATACAAATCCAAATTGTGATAAATTAAACATGGACCTCTCAAAATTAACAACTTAATTTATTTACCGGATTGAACAAGTGGCTATATATGTGTCCAATTTATTTTGTAAAATTATAGTATATTTTTTTAATTTAAATTATATAAAAAAGTTATTGTTTACATTAATTATATAAATAAAATAATATATAAAACTAAATTTTTTATTTTGATATTTCGTGAATTCCGTCTAAATTTTTTATTATAATATTAAGCAAAAAATCGTATTTATTTTTTATTTTGGTATTTCGTGAATTACATCTAAATTTTTTATTATAACATGCAAAAAAATCATAAGATAAGAATTCTATTTATTTTGGAGTTGGTGGATTTACACACATATAAGATAAGAATTTTATTTATTTTGGAGTTAAGTACTTTATTTTAAACAATTAGAGAATATATCCGAACCAAAAGCCGAAACATATAATGTTGCCAAGTAAGTTTCCGAAGCGTGCGAGGCAATCATTTAGACTCAGTACGGTTTGAAATTATATTAAAGAGGGTATATTGTACTAATAATAATATTTCCATATCATGAGTGTTTTCATTTTTCTCTTTTTCTTTCATATTTTCATTAGGAATGGATTTTGTACCCGCCTTCCCGTGTTAGCCTTCCCGTATTTGATTTTTACCGTTGAATCAATGTAATTATGAATATTTGATTTTTCTGTACCCAAAAAAATGAATATTTGATTTTTACTGTTGAATCAACACATTTATTTGATCCAACCATCGTCAAATATTTGTCTACACTTGTAGGATCGAATTCTCCAAGATTCATGCAGAATTAATTGAACATTTTGGATACGGTTAGATATACATTATTTTGGAAAAAAAACTTTTTGATCGGAATAAGTGAATTATTTCACTATTTTATAATAACAATAGAACATTTTATATCCGTTCATAATCTCAAAATTGTTTCATTATTCTACCAAAATAAAATATGTCCACTCTCTGATTCACTTTTTCAATTTACAATTTTTTCTTCCAAAATAATCTATCAAAAAGTTATTTTGGGGAAGACAATTTTGAGATTGTGAATGGATCTATGATAAAACGTAATGATCAAATTGATATGATAGGTAAATAATTATATAACGAATGCAAATGATAAGGTAGTTAAAAATATGGGGATGACCAGTGAAATTTGCTTAAAAAATATGTATCATAATGATCAATTATAATTATTTAGTTGTATTAATAACATTAATAAGGAAAAAAATGAATTATGTGAATAGTAAATTTTTTGAAGAAAAATTTGTCCTCAACAAATAAATTATCTGACAAAAAGAAAATCACCCTTTATTTGCTTATTTATATTAATCAGTAATTTTGATGCCAATATTGAGCACTACACGACCCTACAAGCGGCAAGTGAATATGTGAAGAAGCATAATAAATTAATAATAATTAATAACTAATTATATATGATGAACAGCTTATTTTGCAATATAAAAGACCAGAGCTTAATAATAAGCTGTTGAAACCAGAAACACATATAAGAAAGGACAGAATTTGCTCATATGTATAATTAATAAACAAACAATAAAATAATGCTTTTCTTAGAAAAACTCCAAAAAATGTGAAGTGGGAACATTTGAAATTTCGAATGGCGTAATTGATAGGCAGCCACAGGTACTGAGGTACATGAACCTGTTTTTCAAATGCACCTTTAGTCATTTATATTTTATATTTATTTATTTATTGAGGTGTGAGGTATTTTTTTCAAGTTTTCTTCGCTTTTGCTACCAAATTTGAGGTAAATTGCTTGTTAGAGGCAAGATAACTATTTGACGGGTCCATACGTAACTCCTTAAATAAAAATATATAGTTATGTTATCAAATTATACAATTTTATTTATATTATTTTTTAAAAATATAACATTATTTAAATAAAAGTATGTACATTTATTAATAAAATATATATTCGATAATATACACATGAAAACTACTTTTTTAGTATTCTAGTGCTAATGGGCTTGGAAGAAAAAGCAATAATATATACCAATAATACTAATAATAATAATAATAATAATAATAATAATCAATAAAATTGGTGATGGAGTGAAGGACAATCAATGGGTCCACTCTTGACATTTTGACAATATATTTATTATTGAAAGCACCCCCACAACTATTAAATATTATTCTCAAGCAGTTGTCCACTCTTTACCATGCAAACTCCACCACACACATTCCCATCATACAAGATACAACTAACCCACAACAAAATAAAAAAATAAAAATAAAAATCACATATTTAATTATTTATGTGTAAACCAATTCAGCTAAATGATTCTTCAATTTGCCACAACCTAAGTACAAAAACATCCTAAAAATTTCAATAATTATTCTGTTATTCATCACTATAATAGGTAGAGAAAATTGACTGACGTTACTTAGTGGGAATTAATAGATTTAAAAAGGAGAAACAATTGAGAAATCTTGAGGGTTAAAACTTGGATAGTGGTAGACATATGGCCATAATATTTGCTTGTTTGTCTTGTGGGCATCATTTTCGACTTTCGTCCACTTCTTTCTTTACTTATTTATTTATTTTTTATTATTATTATTGGTTATATGCCACAAGACGAAGAACGAACTCTACAAGCCATGATTTTAAAACACAACTATAGAGACAAATGCTATAATATAGTTTTTTACTAAATACTTATTTGACAAGTCGTTAAATGAATCTGCTAATCAAAACATACGTATAATACAATCCGCTTTCCGCTTATTATCAATAATAATGCTGATACGAACACGATATGACCAATCATGAAATACGATATGGATAAAATAAAAATTTATGATCAAATAGAGTAAATAACTCGAAAATACGATAATAATGCGAAATAACAACACGATTTCTCTCTTTTAAATGTGGAGTGGAAGAGAGAGTAAACGTGCATCACATAATTGGGGCCTTTGCAGTTTGAACAATATGTTCTCTTACATGAAAACGTAAATAACGTTCGTTTGGAAAACGGCTATATTTCATGCAGAGGCAAATCAGAACGTTAATTGTTTGTGTCTTTCATATTTTTTCAAAGAAAAACGAACAAATGATTGAAAATGGGAAAAGCAAAAGAGTTTGAAAGAATTAAAAAACGAGAAAGCAAAAATGAATCGAAATATGTGAATATTTTTCTTGCAGTCATTATTTGTTTTTAGAAAAGAAGATGTTACTATACTTGTAATATCAAGTCCATTTTTTGTACTTTAAAGTTGAACCAGTAAAAGACCCCACCACATGTTACAAACACTGCAAAATCTTGAATAATA